GCGCGTATGTGTGTGAGATATATTGTGGGGATGTGTCTTTTGTGTCCTTGCCATGGCTCCCGTGTTAAGGTCAGAGTACAACTTTGTCACCAGGCTTTTTGGCAAGTGCTTTTACCTCCTGAGCCATCTCACTAGCTCTCACCTTGTTTTTGAGGCAGGTCTCCTGTTTTTTCAGTTATGTATGTTTCCAGTGGGTTCTTCTGACTCTGTCTCCCTTCTCCCTGTAGGCATAATGAGATTTCATGTAATAGCCATTGCATCCAGCTTTTTTTTTTCTTTTCTTTCTTTCTTTTTTTTTTAAATATAAATTTAAATTCCAGGAATGACCCCAGGCCATTGTCTTTCTTTCTTTTTTTTTTTAAATATAAATTTAAATTCCAGGAATGACCCCAGGCCATTGAACTCAGATCGTCAGGGTTGCAAGGCAAGCTCTTTGACCTCCTGAGCAATTTTGCCAGCCCTGCATTGATTATTTGGTTATATTAATAGAGTTAGTCAACTCAAAAGATGGTCAACTTTTTAAAAAAATTATTTTATTTATTTATTTATTTACTTTGGTTTTTCAAGACAGGGTTTCTCTGTGTAGCCCTGGGTGTCCTGGAAGTTGTTCCATAGATGAGGCTGAGTGTTGGGATTAAAGGTGTGCGCCACCACTGCCTAGCTTGGTCAGCTTTTTTGACACTACTCAAACTACAGCAGATTTAGTTTGTGTACTGTACTACAGATCGGAGGCTTCAGAACAGAACAAGTCTTGGGCCTCTGGAGAAAGAAGGGAATGCACACTGGAGTTGAGAAGACAAGGGCAGGGAGAATGCTGGTGAGACTGTTAGCTGTCTGATAGCGCCACCCTAGGGCAGAGGCATGAACAGCTTCTTTATAGTAGTGAGCCAAACCGCAGGAAAGAGGAGACTACCAATAGCGGGGCCTTCCAGAGATGGGCAGTGCTGTCTGGAAAAGGTAGTGATGGAGCACGCTTGTCACAGGAGGCAAGCAAGCAGACGCGAAGGGGAGTGACTCCTCAGGTTCCTGATGGCAGGGGAATATGGCGTGGCTCCCATCTGGATATGAATAGTGTATGGGAAACTGGAGGAGTAAGGGAATAGATGGAGGAGGAGACAGAGGCAGCACCTGAGGGTGAGGGGATGGTAGACTTCATGGAGTCCGAAGTACAGGGGAAACAGAATGTGGATTGCAGGGGCAGGGAAATGTTCACAGGAGTTGAAGATGGACTCTGAGATGTGGGGAGGAGAAGGAACCTACTATGGAAAAGTCCCAGAGGAAGGAGGCAGTGATGGCTTGGTTTAACTATCAGCTTAACACAACCTGAGGAGACTCAACCCTTCAGATTGCCTATATTGCCTTGGCCCATGGGCCTGTCATGGGGGACTGTGTTAAGTGTATGTGGGAAATCCTGCCCACTGTGGGTGGAACCATTCCTTAGGTCCTGAACCAAGAGTGGATGGTTCTGAGCCACCATGTGGGTACTGGGAACAGCTCAGGTCCTCTGCAAGAGCAGCAAGTGCTCTTAACCATTGAGCCATCTCTAGCCCTTCTCCCTGCTCTTTATTGGATGTGATGTGACTAGCTGGCCCTCTCAAGCTCCTGCCACTGTGACTTCTCCACAGTAATAGGCTGTAACCTGGAATTGTGAGCTAAAATGAACGTTCCCCACTGAGGTGCTTTTTCTCAGGACATTATTCATCACGGTAGCTTGAGAGGAAATTAAGACAGAAGCCAAGAGAAATTGAGAAGGATAATTCCTATGGGCTTTCCTCTCAGGGTACTAGAGAACCATGCCAGATCTGACCACAACTGGGAGGTCAGATCCAAACCTTCTGACTGGCTTTGGGACCACTCTGAATGGCACCTTCAGAATCTCTTCCAGGATATTCTGTCCCAGCTTTGCCCTCATGGACAAGGTCTGGCCATATCCCTACCAGTCTCCAGTCTAGCTCCAGCCCTTGGGAGGTGGTGGGTTATTTTAAAATTTTTAGTATATAGATGTCTTTGAGTGGGTATGTGCACTTGAGTGTATGGCCTGCAGAGTCCAGAAGAGGGTGCCAGATCCCTGTTATCTGAAGTTGTTACAGGTGGTTGTGAAATGCCTGTTGTGGGCACTGGAAACCAAAACTCTGTCCTTCTGTAAGAGCCATATAAACTCTTAACTGATGAGCCATCTCTCCGGCCCCATTTTAGTTTTTTTGGAGACAAGGTCTTCCGGAGCACAAGCTAACCTTGAACTCCTTATCCTCTTCCTTCAGCCTCTGGAGTGTTGTTGGGATTACAGGCACATGCTAGCCTGTCCAGCTTTGGATATTCCCAGATAAGGAAACTGGAAACCAGGCATGGTGGTACATTCCTGTAATTCTAGGAAGTGGAGATGGAAGGGTCAGGAATTCAAGGTCATCCTTGGTCATATTGTGTTGGAGGTTACTTTGGGCTACATGAGACTCTGACTCAAAAATAAAAATAAAGGAGCGGGCAAGATGGTTCAGTGAGTAAAGGTGCTTGCTGCTAAACCTGGAGACCTAAGTTCAATCCCCAGGTGGAAGGAGAGAACCAACTCCTACAATTTGTTCTTTGACCTACACAGTACAGGAGGCACACTGTACACATGTACACATGCATTCCTGTATATAACACAACTATATGTAATTTTTTTGTTTGTTTTTGTTTCCGAGACAGGGTTTCTCTGTGGCTTTGGAGGCTGTCCTGGAACTAGCTCTTGTAGACCAGGCTGGTCTCGAACTCACAGAGATCCGCCTGCCTCTGCCTCCCGAGTGCTGGGATCAAAGGTGTGCGCCATCACCGGCTGTAATTTTTGTAATTAAAAAGTTTTAAGTGAATAAGAAAAAGTGAAGAAGATGGAACATTCTGTTCCACGTTTCCTAGTATCCCCATCTTTTCCTGGGTCCCAGAGCTTACAGGAGACTGAATGACGTAAATCCCAATTGCTCAGGACCTGACTAGCTGCAGAGTGATAGGAAACAGAACTCTTGCAGGCAGGCTTTGCCAAGCCTCAGTTTCCCTCAGGTGTACCCTGTGTGACTCAACTCTATGGCCAGGAATGGCCCCTAAGTGTGACAATAGTTCCCAGTGTCTCTTTGTGTATGGGTTGGGGGAGGGATGGCCACCTGGTGGAGTCCACAGGCACTCTGAGGAGAAGGAGCAGAGTGGGGGCTTATTTTAGCTTCCCCGGGGGAGGAGGTGTGATCTCTAGATGGGAGGGGGCCCCTCAGCGCTGCCTCCACAGAAGCTTCTAGCCACCCCCTCTTGCATTCGGTGGGTCCTGTTTAGACTAGGTAATAAAGCCCAAGAAAACGCCTTCGTCTTATTCTTCTAAGTCCTCTACCCCTACAGTCAGCTGTCACTATCCCTTTTCACAGAGGAGCATCAGTTTTGGAGGAATGATATGTCCCTGAGCCAGGCCTTCTCATCCCCTCAACTTGAGTTGTGTTGAGAGAGCAGGCAGTACCCTCTGCCATCAAGTACTGAGTAGTGAGCCATGGCTGAGCCCAGAGCTCCTGACCCTAGGTCACACTGGTTTACCTTGGCTCTGGGGAAGGACATTGGGCTAACCAGCTAATAACCGGGACTGACTCCAGGTGTTGTTGGATAGGATGATCATGCCAGAGCTGGGAGATTGCTTAGCCACATAAGCACAAGAACCTGAGTTCAGATCCCCGGAATCCATGCCATGTTAGTGTGGCATCCTGCTTGTATCCCTAAAGCAAGCTGGCTAGAAAGAATAGCCATATCTAATTGGCAAGCTCTGGGCTGGATTGAGAGACCCTGCCTCAATAAATAAGGGGGATGAGCAACAAGGGCATCCACTTCTGGCCTCCACATGCACGCGCGCGCGCGCGCGCGCGCACACACACACACACACAACCACACCACCCCCACACCCAACAGCACGCGCGCGCGCGTGCGCGCGCGCACGCACACACACACACACACACACACACACACACACACACACACACCATACACACCATACACATGTATGTGCACACACAAAAATGGAAAAGGAAGAAACATTTGACCATGGCCCAAAGACAAGCCTAGTCTAATTATTCCCTGGCTGGCAATTGTGGTTTTTATATGGCTGCTTTTGGGACACTGGGACCTACAGGTCTTGGAAACTCTGAGTTCCGTTTTAATTGAGAAGCGGGCATGATGGCACACACCCAAAGTCCCAGCACTTGAGAGGCTGAGGTAAGGTCAGGAGTTTAACCCTAGCCTGGGCTATAAATTGAGACACTGTCTAAAAACAGAATAAAACAAATGCCAAGTAGGAAGGCCTGGCTTGCAGGAGTCTGTCAGGCAAATTTTGGAGACTCCAGTGGAGCTCAAGACTTGGTTAACTCAGACTGCAGTCTATTGGTTGGCTTCAGTTCTAGGGACCACTATCATGGTAACCAAGTTTCATAGCTACTGGAAGGGACATAACTCTGTCACCCACTTGACACTTGACAGGCAAATCTTCTCTACTCTGCTGGGTGCCTGGTGATCCTCCAGGTGGCACTGTGGCTGGAAGCCGGGGCACAGCTTGTCTGTTCTTGTTCCTGCCCAGAGACTCCCAAGAGGGAGACGAGTGTCCAAAGAACCTCACTGTGCCTGTGTGTGAAGAAGGTCATAGTTTAGGGTACCAGGGGACCCACACACGTCCACTCACATATATATTTAACACTGTTTAGGCCAAGGACAGCGATGACGACGATGATGTCACTGTCACTGTGGACCGAGACCGTTTCATGGATGAGTTCTTCGAACAGGTGGGAACCAGCCTGCTCTATGTCCCTGTTGCACCTGCCATTCCTCACCCATGAGCTGGTGTAGGACTCTCAAGCACCTAAACCTTGCTCAGCCTGCACCACCACCACCATCCCCGGAGGGAGGGGACTCCAGTGTGAGCCAGTTTGATGCTTAGCAAAGCAGAATCCCTGCCTGGGACTTTCTGGTAACTGTTGCTGGCCTAGTTCCCACTGCTGGCCCAGCATCTTCCCTCTGAGCCCCTACTCTGTTGTTTCCCTCTAACCTCGCTACCTGGGATCCTCAGGTGGAAGAGATCCGAGGCTTTATTGACAAGATTGCCGAAAATGTGGAGGAGGTGAAGCGGAAACACAGCGCCATCCTGGCGTCCCCCAACCCGGATGAGAGTGAGTGCGAATGGGGACAGCTGCAGACAGGGCTCTGAGCTGCAGCCACCCTGTGCTGGGGTGTGGCAGGCAGTGGGGTGTTTGATCTGCACGTGTAGAAGACAGGGCTCCTTGCATTGACCCAAGTCAGTGCCCACTGTTGCTGGTAGACCTTGCCCTGCTGTGAAGATTGCTATGACAAGGAATGGCAATAAACGCCTGTAATCCCAGCGGGTGAGGCTTAGAGGGTCAGGAGTTCAAGGTCATCCTCTGCTACGAAGAGAGAGAGCTCCAAGCCGGCCTCAACCCTCCCCAGCTAACTGGATTTTCTCTAAGGGGATAGGAATGGCTGGCAGCTCCTCCTGGGGTGCTGGGAAGGAGGGTCCATGGATGGATGGATGGATGATGGATGGATGGATGGATGGATGGATGGATAGAAGGACAGAGTAAGATGCCTGATGAATTGGAGCCTGCCCAGCCCAACCCCACCCTCCTTGACTACCCAGGGAGCAGATGGTAACTCTGAGGTGCCTCTCTGACAGAGCAGGCAAAGCTTCCTGTGAGATCTGGCACCCTGCCTCTTTAGTAGCCCAGAGCCCCGCATTCTCCAGGCTCCAGGAAGTTAGTCACCTGTCTCCCTTCACACAGGGAACCTGTGTGTATCTAGATCCCATTTAGTCTTAGACAGAATCCCTTGACCTGGCATTCACCTTCCTGTTGAGGTGTGTGTGTGTGTGTGTGTGTGTGTGTGTGTGTGTGTGTGTTGCATGGATGTGAGTGTTTGGGTACATGTGCCTAGAGTGGGCACGCAGGGCCAGAGCAAGCTGTCGGGCTTGTCTTTGTCCTCTCTTGTCTTTTATTTTGCTTGTGTTTTTTATTTGTTTTTTGAGATAATGTCTGAACCAGTCAGTAGTGGAGCAGACCTTTAGCCCCTAGGGAGGCAGAGGCAGGTGGATCTCTGTAAGTTTAAGGACGGCCTGGTCTACATTTACAGAGTGAGTTCCAGGACAGCCAGGGTTACACAGAGAAACCATCTCAAAAAGCCAGAGAGAGATGCAGCCCAAGCTGGCTTCCATTATTATTATTATTATTATTATTATTATTATTATTATTATTATTTTTATTTTATGTGCACAAGTGTCTTGCCAGCATATATGCAAGTGCACCACATGCATGCCTGGTGCCCATGGAAGTCAGAGAGGGCATTGTGTCCCTTGGAACTAAATGATTGTAGACTACAATGTGGATTCTGGGAACTGAATCTTGATCCTCCTAACCACTGAGCCATCTGTCCGGCCCTCTCTTTTTAAAGTTACATTTATTTATTTATTTATTTATTTATTTATTTTTGTGTTTTTGAGACAGGGTTTCTCGGGGTATGAGTGCCCTGTGCACATTCAGAGGCCAAGTTGAACTTTCAGGACTGAGTCCTCTCCATCCACATTGTGGGTCCTGGGTATTGAACTCAGGTCCTCTGGAGGAGCAGCTATCCCTCCAGCCCTGGCCTCTAACTCTTAGATGCTAGAATTATGGGCACATGCCACAGCACCATGCTCTGCTGAGACAGTGATTGCCACATTGATGTGTAGCAGTTGCCGCAGCCAGGCCCAGCTGAGACCCTCTGCCCTGGAAGGTTTCAACCGCAGGCACCCTGATGCACTGACTGGCCAGTCCTCTGCCTCAGGGACCCAGGCTGGCCAGCCACTTGTGTCTGTCTGCCCTTCATGGTCACTAGTTCCTGGAAGCTTGCTATCCTGTCATTTCATGTCCTCAGGGAGGTCTCAGTCCCCTGTGGCTCACAAAAGACAAGGGAAGGCTTTTTTTGTCAAGCATGTGTCCCCCCTTACCCAGGACTCCTCACCCTCTGGGTCAGAATAAGGCTTCCTCTGGTCCGTTGATTCAATATGTTTGGACCAAGAGTTGTGATAGCAGCTATGCTATAACTGCCCCCTGAGAAGGCACATTGGAGCGTTTGGGACCCAAGGAGACATCCTAGGAGGGGAGGACAGAGAGGGAGCACTCAGGCCTTGGAAAGTCAGTGCAATTATCTCACTTCTTCCCTTTTCCTAAAGATTTGTCCATGATTGCTGCAGTATGTATGTATCTATGTTTGTGGATGTCTGGGCCACCAGGTGTCCTTCTGTGGGCTGCATAATATGGTAATCTGTGGTGAGAAGAAAGCAATGAGCTTTGGCTGTAGCCCAGTGGATGGAGTGCTTGACTAACTAGCATGCACAAAATTTCGGGTTCAATCCCCAGCTCCCCATAACCAGGAAGTGGTGGCACATGTCCATAGCCATTCTAGCACTCGGAAAGTAGAGGCAACAGATTAGGAGTTCAAGGTCATCTTTGGCTACACAGTAAGTTGCAGGATAGCCTGGGCTGTATGAGACTATATCTGAAGGAAAGGGGACCCCTCAGCTACTAGAGGTGGGGTGGGCACACCATAGTGGAACTACTTGGCTCCATTTCTCAGCTGCTGTGCGCCACACTGTCCACACATATCTCTGTGTGGCCTACAGAGTGGGTATGGCTCCCGTGAACTAGCAGAAGCACAGACACATGGAGATGCAGCCACTCATCAAGGGGAGAAAGCATCCCATGGGCTACGAGGCAAGGGTGACTAATGAGGAATATGGAAATTGGCAGTGGGTTGGGGGCTTTCCTGGATCAACGCTGCTTCTTGATCCTCGGTGGCTGCCATCCGGCTGGGCTATTTTAGGTCTGAGCAAAAAAGGCTGAGACGGTAAGAGCAGCTGGTGACCAAGTTTCCTCTTGTCTGTGGGAGGAAGGCTCCCTCCTCCACTTTGCAGAGTCGTCGCTCCCCCCCCTCTGCCCCACTCACATTCATCAGGATAGGTGACCCTCCTATACTGATACCACTGCTGTCACCCCTAAGCCCTAACCCCATTATGTATGGTAGGAAGGGTAACAGCCAAGAAACCTGGACCCAGCTTCTGAAGAGAAGGCGGTATTGGTTGCTTCCTCAGAGGCCTGTGCCAGCTTAAAGTCATAGCTATGGCTAGGACAAGGGCCACAGCCTTTCCTCACCTTTATTCACCTCTCATGACCCCTAGTGACCTGTCACCTCACTGCTACCTCCCACCAAGACCATGCTGTCCCCTGTCTCAGTCACTCTGGGAAGCTAAGTACCTAGGAAGGTCAGCTTTGTGAGGAGTTCAAGGTCAGCTATTGCTTTGACTGGGTAGGCAAGGTGGGCTATCCTGCTGACCTGGTGGGTTTCTGCTTCCCATCCTAAGCCACCAGGTAAAGCCAGGTGAACCCGGTGGTCTCATCCCATGCCTAACACCCCACAAGTAAACAGTCCTTGGCGCTGACTACAGCCTGACCAGCCTCTTAAATTTAGCCCCATCTGTTATCGACAGGGGATGGGGGAGGCAGTGAAGCAGGAGGGTGGCTTCTTGAAAGGCAGCAGGAGAGGGGGTGGGACTGTAGCTGAGGTGGCCTTGGCCTAGAATTGCAACTGTAGACAAAGACATAACCAAGGGGAGAGAGGAGACCACAATGCTGTGGTTTGTCCAGGGCCTCCTATTCCACTCCTGGTGCTAGAATCTGGGTCTGAACAAGGAGGAAAGTACATATCTATACCACATGACTCCCTCCTCCCCCACCCCCGCCCCATAGAGACCAAGGAGGAACTGGAAGAGCTCATGTCGGATATAAAGAAGACGGCAAACAAGGTTCGCTCCAAGTTAAAGAGTAAGTCACTGGTGGCTGGGGATGTGGCTCAGTTGGTACCGTCCGGCCTACATGAAGCCTTGAATTTGATTCACAGAATCATATGTTTGGTTGTGGAGACTTACACTTGTAATCTCAGAGATGTGAGGATCGAGAGTTCAAGGACAGCCTAGGCTACATAGTTTACAGACAGCCTGGGCTATATGAGAATTATGTAGAAATAAATTTAACCCCCCCCAAAAAAAACCCACCCAAAGAGGTGGTTGGCATCCTGGACTCATGCAGAGCCCATGGCCATGGTAGCTTAAGGGACATGTCCTGTAGGAGGCAGACACCTAGTCCTCCACACTTTCATGAGCAAAAGAGGAATTATCAGGTCACAGAGTGGCCTGAACTGCCAGACCCAGCATAAGCAGGTATGTCCAGGTGCAGAGGCGTGTGCGCATGCCCATGCTCTCTCTCTCTCTCTCTCTCTCTCTCACACACACACACACACACTTTTTTGTTTGTTTTGTTTTTCGAGACAGGGTTTCTCTGTGTAGCTTTGGAGCCTATCCTGGCACTCGCTCTGGAGACCAGGCTGGCCTCGAACTCACAGAGATCCACCTGCCTCTGCCTCCCAAGTGCTGGGATTAAAGGCATGCACCACCAACGCCCGGCCACACACACACATTTTAGGGTAGGGTACTCACAGGTAGGTATGTGCTTGCACACAAATGTACACAGCTGCACACACTAACCAATGAGAAGGACCATTGTAGGTCCCACCTCCATTACTGTTTACATTTTGCTTTCCATATGACCCCGCCATACCCTTTGACACAGGCTCCACACTCTGGGGGTGGGGTGTGGAAGGGTGGGATAGGGTGGATGGAGGCGGGATACTGCTCACCGGTCCCCTGACATCACCCCCCACCCAGGCATCGAGCAGAGCATCGAGCAGGAGGAAGGTCTGAACCGCTCATCCGCAGACCTGAGGATCCGCAAGACACAGGTACAGCAGGAGGGCAGAGGTGGACGGGTCTCTGGGTCCCTGTAGAGCCTGATGCCTACCAGCACCCCTCACCCCTTTCTCCCTGCTCCCCACTCCCAGCATTCCACGCTGTCACGAAAGTTTGTGGAGGTCATGTCTGAGTACAACGCCACACAGTCCGACTACCGAGAACGCTGCAAAGGGCGCATCCAGAGACAGCTGGAGATCAGTGAGCTGGGGGCAGGGTCTGGGCTGGAAAGGAGGGGCCTACAGCTAAAGGAGTGTTAGATGGGGCTTGTGGCTACAGAAGTAGTTTGGGCTGGCAGGTTGGATCCACAAGCAGGGCCCATAGTGGTTTGAGCTGATGTGGTAGGTATGGCTTGTGGCTAGGGGTGTGGTTTGAGCTGGAGGGGTGGTGCTACGAGTGGACCCTGGGTATAAGGCTTGGGCTAGAGTGGGGTGGGTAAGACCTTGTGGTGCATATATGGCCTGGATTGGAAGGATGGTGCTGTTGGTGAAGCTTGTGGCTAGAGATTGATTTGGGCTGGGGGCATGGAACCCATGAGTAGCAGCCTGGGGGAGGGGCTCATAGCTAGAAGGGTGGTTGAGAGTGGGGCTTCGGCCGTCGAGTTAGGACTAGAAGCCCCTGAGCTCCCTGGAGAGGGCAGAACTTAGTGTGATCCCACCCACAGCTGGACGGACCACAACCAGTGAGGAGTTGGAAGACATGCTAGAGAGTGGGAACCCTGCCATCTTCGCCTCTGGGGTGAGTGGGAAGCCCTCCCCCCTTACCAGGACCCATTAACCCTGCCCCTCCACACTAGCCCTAGCGTGTGCCAAACCCAGGGTCAGGGTAGTGTTTGGATTTTAGAGAAATCCTGAGTCTCAAGAGAAGGAAGGGGACCAGGTTGAGAGTCCCATAAATGTCAGTGGCAAAGGTGAAAATCAAAAATTGTATACAGGTTGAGATGGCTCATCAGGTAAAGGAGCTTGCTGCCATGCCCCCTGACAACCTGAGTTGGATCCCTGGGACTCAAATGGTGGAAGTAGAGAACTAACTCCTGCAAGTTGTCCATACACACAAACACACACACACACACACACACACACACACACACACACCACATACAAACACACTATACACATATATGCATACACATACCACGGACATATACATACCACACATACAAACATACCACACACACACACACACACACACACATTAATAAAACGTGATAAGGAAAATTAAGACCTGTATTCAAGCTGGGCATTGTGCCTCATACCTGTAAACCCAGCACTTGAGAGGCTGAAGAAAGACTAGTGTTTCCAGTTCAAGGCTAACCAGGGCATGTGTCCTGATGGAGCAGGTATGATGACACCTGTCATCCCAGCACTGTACAGGTGGGGGAAGAGAATGAAGTCACTATCACCCTTGGCTACATAGCACATTGGAGGATAGACTGGGGTGTGTGAGACCCCAACTGATAGTGCCTGTTATTCCAGCAGTGAGTGCACAGACCCAGGCCAAAGCTGGGAGCTTCCCGGCCGGCCAGCCTAACCAAAAAGGCCAACTTCTGATTCTGTGTCTCTCAGAGGCAGGGCTGACAAGATGGCTACGAAGGGAAAAGAACTTGCTGTTAAGTCTTATGACCGGAGTTCAATCCCCAAGAATCGCACAGTGGAAGAGAGCTGGCTTCCCAAAGTTGTCCTCTGACTATAGCAAGCTGTGGTGTGCATATACCCCCACACATGCAAGTAAACAAAAACACGATTTAAAAATTGGTGAGGTAGCTGGGCATTGGTGGCGCACGCCTTTAATCCTAGCACTCAGGAGGCAGAGGTAGGCAGATCTCTGAGTTCGAGGCCAGCATGATCTTCAGAGCGAGTGCCAGGATAGGCTCCAAAGCTACACAGAGAAACCCTGTCTCGAAAAACCAAAATAATAATAATAATAATACTTTGTCGTTTTGTTTTGTTTTTCGAGACAGGGTTTCTCTGTGGAGCTTTGGAGCCTATTCTGGCACCCGCTGTGGAGACCAGGCTGGCCTCGAACTCACAGAGATCCATCTGCCTCTGCCTTCCGAGTGCTGGGATTAAAGGCATGCGCCACCAACGCCCGGCTAACAAAGTATTTTAAGGACCGGGAGTTTAAGGTTATCTTTGGCTATATCACCAGTTCTAGGCCTGTCTGGGATACATGAGATACTGTCTCAAAACAAAGAAAGATGGCTCAGCAGATAAAAACACTTGCCACCAAACCCAACTACCTGGGTTTGATGCCCAGGACTCTATGAAGGGAGAAAATTGACTCCTTGTCTGACTTCCATGTATGTGCTATTGGGCATTTGCACGCACACACACACACACACACACACACACACACACACACAC